TCTATTAATGAACCACAGAAAAAGGGTGGCCGTTTTGTTCGGCGGTCGGTCTCCGGAACATGATGTAAGTATTATCACAGGACTTCAGGCACTAAATGCTGTGGATACAATATGCTATGATCCTTTTCCTGTGTATGTAGATTTATCCGGTCAGTGGTGGTTTGGAGAGGATCTGCGCCAGAGGTCTGAACATTTACCATTGGTGGCTTATAAAGATTCTTTAGAACCTATTCTGCTGGATCTAATGCCTGGTAAGAAGGGACGATTGCATTTTCAAAAGAAGAGCTTTTTCAAAAAAAAGGCGCCTATTTCTTTTGATATCGCATTGTTGGCGTTTCATGGGCTCAGCGGTGAAAATGGGGATATCCAAGGGGCCTTAGAAACAGCAGGGATTCCTTATACGGGAACGCGTGTTATGGACAAAGTTCTCACAAAAGAAGTATTGCGCTCGAAAAAAGTTCCCCTTCTTTCTCATATGGTTGTGAAAAAGCCTGATGAAGGTCTTTTGCTTTCTCAGGAGGCTTTAAAAGAGATCTGCCAAAACTTGACGTTTCCATGCTGTGTGAAGCCCCGTTATTTGGGAAGCAGTATCGGGGTTGCACGTGTGGAAAATCCAGAAGAACTCAATGCAGTTTTACCAAGTATCTTTCAATACGACACCCATGCAATGGTCGAGCCATTTGTTGAAAATTTAGTAGAATATAATGTTGCTGTGCGGCGAAATGCTGAAGGTGATGTTGTTCTCTCTGCAATTGAGCGGCCAAAGTGCAATGAAGAGCTTTTGGATTTTAAGCAAAAGTATTGTGCCTCAGCAGGCTCAAAAACGGGAGTTAAAAGTCCTTCTTCTAATAGTGAAGGAATGTTGTCGCTAACGCGTGATATTGCGCCTAAGTTGGATCCAAAAATCACAGAAATCATTCAGCACTCCGCGAGGACAGTTTTCTCCTTAGCGGAAGGAACAGGTGTGCCCCGGATCGATTTCTTGAGTAATGAAAAAACAGGCGAGGTTTGGTTCAATGAAGTGAATCCATGCCCTGGGTCTTTCGGATATTATTTATGGGAGGCTGCAGGTCAGTCTCTTTTATTTACAGAACTTCTAACTCACCTTTTAAAAGAAGCTGAAGTTCATCATGATGTTACGAGGCTTCCCCTTGATCCTATCCCTGAAGGGGCTCGTCTTTTTCGTCTCTGAATGATTTGAGGTGTGCTTTTGTGTTTTTAATTCAATGGATTGCAGTTCTTTCTTGACGAGTGAAAAAAGAATCTCCCTATTT